TGTGTGTGTGTGTGTGTGTGTGTGTGTGTGTGTGTGTGTGTGACCTGCAGTCTCTGGCTCTCTCTCTGCTCGTCTCGTTGCAGCTGCAGCAGATGTGCAACGTGTGTGTGCAGCTGCTCGCTGCGTGTGTGCGCCTCGCGCTGCAGCGCTGAGTATCGGCGCTGCTCCTCGTCCAGACTCGCCCTCAGACTCCGGATCTCCTCGTCTTGAACGGCGAGCTGAGACTTCTGCAACCAGCAGCGTGACGGAGAGAAAACATGAGAGGAGGGGCTACGTGGGTGGTGTTCAGCATCATGATGAGGTTGACGTGTGTGTTACCATGGCAGCGCTCTGCTCCTCCAGCGTTGTGGCGTTGATGACCCTCCGCAGCAGCCGGCGGTTTCGGACGGCGTGCTGTTGCCGCTTGAAGCGCTCGTACTGGAGCTGAGCGTGGACGAGCAGCAGCTGATTGGTCAGAGACTGAAGCTCCTCCTCCTGGGTGGAGCCTGACACACACACACACAGTTCTAATGAAATCCTCTGTGCTGATGCAAACCCGGCAGCTTGACGCCGCAGCTCGTCTGACGGTCATTAAACGAGCTGGGCGTGGTCAGTACGGCGAATACGAGAGAACTGGAGCGCGGTGTCCCACAGCTGCCGCGAACCGCTTCCTCATCAGCCTCAAGACGTGAAAACTGAACCCGAGAACACCGGCGGGCTAGATCAAACCTGAACGCAGATTCAGGACGGCGCCCGCAAACAGCAGCGAAACGAATGTGGCGACGAGCTGAAACGGCGGCGCGGGGTCAGGAGCTTACAGCTTCATTTGCATATGAGGTTGATGAGAGTGACGAGTGTTCAGGTACCTTTGCTTTTCATGCTCTGCTGTTTACCTCCAAAGTGACTCCGATCCACCGACTTACTCCCAGCTGATGACCTGTGAACACCACAGAAGAAGAAAGAGGTGACGCAGGTTAGCACGTTGTAAACATCGGACGGTCTCTGATGACACGCGTGCAGATGCTTCAAATCTAAGGACACGGTTTCATCCACAGACTAGATGTCGACGATGGCTGCGCCTCGCTCCGTCGACCGGCGAGCAGCGGGAATACTCGCTTCGTGTTTAATGTCTCGTTTTGGCGCCTCACCCCGACGGCCTCTCCTCCCTCAGCCTGGCCGTGCTGCAGCTTTCTTCCTGTCTCCACAGCGCTCGCTCAGTGGGGGTTTTGCGTTACAATATGAAGCTAGGCGACTCACACTGTGACACTGATCGGTGTGTTTTGGGCGTGAGGCGGCGTTCTGCCTGATAATGCCCTCTGATAACTTCCTGCGGCTCACCTCCTGCTGAGGCAATCGTGGGCGTCGTTTCCACGGGCGATCAGCTGGTCCAGAACCTCCAGAGGGGAGACAGAGGTCACCTCCTCCTCTCTGTTCTCCCTCTGTGGTCCTCCCCCCTTCTTCTCCAGCACCTCCTGCAGGACACAGCACGT